CTTGTCAGACGTGGGCTCAGAAAAGCCACCAAGGCCGTGGTGAGGAACAGCAGGCTGGATTTCTTCATTACAGCGGCAATGAGTATGCCTGACCTTGGTTACATTCCAGGTCAGAGGACGAACACTGGGTGTCAGAAACTTGTTAGGAGGGGTGACGACTGTAGCTGAAGCCACATACTCTGGTTTGTACAGCAGACGATCCGTGGATCTAAGACAGTACAACAGGCACAAAGCCAGTCAGAAAGGCAGACAGCAAAAAGACAAAGAGCCAGAAAACAGACGGGGGGGCATGCATTCTGTGTTCCCAGATAGATTTCTTATATGAAGGTATTACTCAATTTGAAAAATTATTTTCAGGTTCAACATTTTACATCAGCATTCGGAATGATAAATATCTATAACTTGTTTGGGGGTTATCAAAATGAACACACTGCACCCCCATAACCACCTTACTGCAGAGAACCCAAATCAAATTTAATCCTTCCTGTTAAAATCTGGTGTCATGTCATTAACACTTCTGAAATTAATCATTAATGCCAAGGACCCCAGAGCCTATGTAGAAACCGTCATGCTGCTGCTGATTGACTGGCATGTGCCACTTGTGTCACAGATACATCTAGGCCACTTAGCATATTTAAGTGCTAACTACTGTTATGCAACTCTTCTGCTGGTGTGTGCCACATATCAGCAACACTGAGATATAGATAAGTATTCAATATGCATATTGTTAATCTAGTTAGGAAGCTTAAGGTTAAGATTGGCTTTTATTTTGTAAATAAATCTTGTTTTACTTACAATGCTAAGAAAAAACTTGGAGAAACTACTTTACTACCTGTGACTGATTATGCAGCCTCCTCTATTTTATGAAAAGTTTATACAAACTCTCTTACTCACCACTGCATTCCTAGTGTGATGGACATCACTGACCCTTCGCAGACAACAACAGTGGAATATTTTTAATCTATAAAGCGATACTGAGTAAACTTCCAGCTTTATCTTTGCACCCTTTTCTATCTTAGCTCTAGTGGATGCCAGCTACTCTCATCCAGGTAGTTACTTTTTAATAAACTGCTCCTGCTCTGCACCTTGGTCATAGAATAACTTGCAGAAAGACCTAAAGTTGCGATTTGAATTTTTGCATATTGTGTCGAATTTTAATGTGTTGCAAAAGGCTGCCATCTTGTCCAGGCCTCC